ACAAGTCAGAAACAAATGAGTAAATATCCAATTGGCAAAAAGAGACATACTTAGATAATGGAATACGTTTTAAAGTACTCTTTTTCAGTCTCCAGGGAGCAATTAACTTGAAAAATTAAGCAACTTCATAGTTACAGTTGAGATTACAAATTTCTATTTCATTGGCATAGTTCTAAATTTAGAAAGAATTATTGAATTATCTAAATCACTGCACCACTTAGAAATAAATATTTTTAAAATATGATTACTAATGTTCCCTGTAGAAAGAGTTCAGTTACCAAACTATATTTGAAATGTACATTTTTTTATCGTTGGTAATTAAATTGGATTTTAAAAATATTAGACCTGAAATGAGATGCATTTAAACTTGCTTTATAAACTGGAGTGATATAAATATAGTATATTATTATAGTTAATATAAAATATAACATATATTCATATTATTATACTTATTTTCTTCATGGAGTCCTGGTAGTAAGCACTGGCTAACCACAAGGCCAGTGGTTCAAACCCACCAGCCACTTCTTGGCAACCCTACGGCAGTTAACAACATATTTTTCATAGGACTAAGCACAATGCTTGGCGTGGTTAATAAATATTTGCTGTAGTTGGACGAGACCATCACCTCATATTGTAAGCTCCCAACGGACTCACCACATATTCCTGCCAATGTGTCCTGCTTGTAATCATTTCCTTAAGTGGTTTTAGCTGGCCCATTACCTCATCTCTAGTCTGTAATCTCATCCAACTTCTCTTCTGAAGAGGCCCTGTTCTACACATATTTGGCTCATCAATAAGGAGAATGTCCTGGCCAAGACGTATGTGGCCTGGGCTGGGTTAAAAACCACTCTCAGTTCATTTCAAAGCATGTTTGAGTACTCAAAGACAAGTATGGCTTCTTATATCCCTTTCTGAGCACAATGCGAGACCTGCTATCAGAATAAATGCTTATTTACTGCTGATTAAATGTCTCAAGAAACCCAGTCAACCCTACCTTCACCCACTTGGATGCTTTCATTTTTCTGGCTGGAGACAATAGGTGTTTTCTCACTGGGCTTTATAAAAAAGCAAAAGAGCCTTTCAAAAAAAGTGCAAACGAAACAACTGGGACTACAAAGATATATACGAGGAAGCTTCAAAAAATGGAAAACTTCCAATATCTCTCAATATCATTTTTCGATGAGCTTTCCTGAAGTCCCTTAGAGATCTGGCAGCACAGTGGCTATGTTTTGGGACACTAACCTAAAGGTCAATGCTTCTGACCCACCAGCGCTTCACGGGAGAAAGATGAGGCTCTTTGCTTCCATAAACAATTACAGTCTTGCAAACACTATAGAGGGTCACTGTGAGTCGGAATCAATACCACGGCAGTGGGTTTGGTTTTCCAGATTCTGTATTGTCAGCATGCTTTTTGAAGATTAATTACATTTTTCTTAAAGAAATGTTGCTCCTTGTCTTCAACTCACATTGCTTTCTAAACTGAATTAGCATCGACTGTCCATATCATTGAGCAATGGGGATCCAGTTATAGCAGGAGTAAATTGAATCTCTAAAGAGAGATGGGGGAATTAAGTGTAGCCCCCCAATCCTTACCTTCTGTCTAATGTTTCACAAGAGCTATTATAGCAAGTAACACAAATGGAGGGAGTCTCATCCTGCTTAACTTCTTACTATCTGCTGTCAGACAGCCCATAGCTGTTGAGCTGATTCCGACTCATCGCGATCCTATAGATCTGAGTACAACTCCTCCACTGAGTTTCTGAGGCGTTAAATCTCTACAGAAGCAGGCAGATTGCTTCATTTTTCTTCCAAGCGGTAGCTGGTGGGTTCGAATCGCTGATTTCTTGCTTAGCAGCCCAAGGCTTAAAGTATTATGTCACCAGAGCTCCTTCTATATGACATCACTAGTTCCCAAACACACATCCTAAACAGGCAATGATAGACTACTAAAAATCAAGTCCTTTATATTCTTGTTAAATATATAATGTTTTCCTTAGAAAGCAAAGTGACATGTTAGCACCCAGGTCTAGGGATATCTGCACAGTGATATAAAATGGTGTCTTAAGTAAGCATTGAGCGTTCTAAATCTGCAAATGAAAAGACCTTGGCTCTGGCTTGCTGCTGCCTTTGAGGGAAATACACCAATGACGTACAGGTTGCTTCTAGAGGGAGTGATTCAGGCATGCTGGACTTCTGTTTGGGATGAACCACTCACGCCTCTTTGTTTCTTTTGCTAATGAGCTATCTTCCAGAAGTCCATTACTCATCTAAAGTGAACCTAGGGTTGAGCAGGAATATCAAGGCAGGTGACATGTCCAAGGAGCCCTGCTGGTGCTGTGGGTTAGATATTGTTGGGCTGCTAACAGCAAGGTCGGAGGGGGAACCCCAACAGTCACTCTGAGGGAGCAACGTGAGGCTGTGTGCTTCTGAAAAACGTACAGCCTTAGAAACCTGATGTAGGGTTGATGGCAGTGGGCTTCTTTCTCTCTCTCTCTCTTTCCTTGGTGACTTGTCTACCAGATCAGTAAACATGGCATATCCAGTTCTCCATTTCCTTGGCCATGACAAATATCATTAATAAATCACTGTAACAGTCTCAAGATGCAACCTTATAACCCTTTTCAACATAGGCTACCACCAAATAGCTGGGGTTGATATAGGTCAGCTAGATCCAAGTAGGAGAAAATTGTGATGGTTTATGAAATCATGTTAGAGAAAAGAAGTGTACAATTATATACAACTTTACAAGGTAGGGAAAAAATGATCACAACCTTCTATTTTTAAGGTAAAAAAATGTTTTGTTTTGTTTTTCTAGGCCTGCCTCAAAAGAAAATCAAACTCTCAATAGGTGAAATAGAATCAGCACATATCTACGGTCACCACTTCTTTGTGCCCTATACCTGGGTCTGTAATACTGTTCTCCACTAAAAGGTGACACACTTCTTGCAAAGGAAATTTATTTCAAGTCTTGGAACAGGAAAATTCAGGGCAGTTCTAGAATATTGTATTGTTACCAGAAAGCAAAGATTCTGTAAAAACCTTTTGAGGCAGTGCTGAAAGGACTTATGAGAGAGAGCTTCCATTGCCCAAGATGTGACTATTTAAGCAAAAAACAACAAAATAACAACACTAATACTCAACTGGACTAACTTAGACAAGTGGAAGTGTCCAGAAAGGTACTATTACTATAAAAAGGCAACAATTCGTACTTGAAATAGTTTTATTGTTATGAGATACTAAATACATAGCTACTTTGCTTCCTCTTAACTTCATACAGACATTGTTAAGCATGGGTTTACTATCAGGTATGAACTAAAACCTTTTTCTGTCTATGTAAGCAAGATAGACTGGGTGGGAGAACTTGTCAGTGAGCCAAATAGTGATTCCAAATTAAAAGCTAGACCATGAGCAGGAAGGCCTGATTGATATTAAATAGTCTTATATAATACGTGCTTCTTGCTGTGTGCCGTAGAGTTAGATCCAACTCACAGAGACCCTGTATAGGGTTTCTGAGGAGTGGCTGGTGGCTTTGAACTGCTGACCCTGAGGTTAGTCGTCTAGTGCTTATCCTACAGCACCACACCAGGACTCCATATAATATCATATCAAAATAATAAAAAAATATAATAATAAGCAAACTCCATCAGTTCACTGGAGTCCTGGTGTGGTGCTGTGGTTTAATGCGCCATACTGTAAAGCTGTTTGAACTGTCAGGTCGGCAGTTCAAGCTGACTAGCTGCTCCTTGAAAACCCTATACAGGGTCACTATGGGTCAGAATCCACTTGAGAGCACTTAACAACATCAGTTCATTGCCGCTGGTGGTTTTGCATAACAGCCAATGAAAAGAGAAGCTGATGGTGTGTTTTCAGATGATAATTAGTTGGATCTTCCCCCCCCCTACAAATGAGTGTTAAATGTACTGACCTACTTCTTCAGCTCCCAGGGAATAAAACCTCTAGATGATCCTACTAATCAGATACTGATAAGACACAAGCAAGGTTCCAATTATATCAAACAGGTCAATATATCATAATGACAAAGTGTAAGGTAGATACAAACCCTCTGCTCTGGGAAAACATAACAAATTTCAGAAAAAGAATGTCGAACTTGAGAGACAAAGGTATACATTTCCCATGATGTGCCACTTTGTACTGAGACTTGAACCACTGAATCATGTAACTAGAGCATGCATTTGACCTGAAATCAAAAGATTAGCATCACAGAACTTGCACCCTCACTGGATCTTTTTCTTTGTGAGTTGGATAACGTTTCTAAGAACTTTAAAATGTGTACTGCCCCCCCCCTTTTTTTTTTTTTAAAGGTATTTAGATTTAAGAACATTTGATATATTGGATTTGTGATTTTGATCTCATTCTTAAAAGTGTTTGTTAATATAGAATCACTGCTTGAATAATTAAGAAAATTTGTCTCATTACAAATTGTCTCCTTACTCTAAATAGTCACATACTACTCATTGTAGGATAACTGGACCGCAACATTGGTTTGAACTACAAGGTCGGTGGTTCAAACTCACCAGTCGCTCCTCAGAAACCCTATACAGGGTTACTATGAGTTGCAACTGACTTGACAACTCTTAACAACAAAAAACAAAAACAACTTATTCAACGAGGTAATCTCTAAATTTTGATGACCTTGTTGAATATGTAGTATGTAACCAGAGGAGTGTTAAGTTTAAAGAAAAAATTGCTTAATAATGTCATAAGACTATAAATTGGACATTAAACAAAATACAAATGGTAATAATCCCTCCTAAGTGCAAAAACCCTATAGATATTAAATGCCATCAAGAGGTGAAACCTATTTGCTGTCCAGAAGAATGGTTATTTTAAAAGATTGCTATTCAATCAAATAAAGGTGTCATTCAGCAAAGATGATGAATCTTTCAAAACAGATCATGCTAATTTCTCATTTGGGCAGGTATGGTGAAATATTTTTGCTTCCTCAATTTCATTGCCAACCTCAATCTGGCAATTCCTACCTTTGGATTCTTCTGCCTTCCCTCCTAGGTAGGAGTTATCCTCTTTTGTGGAATCCTTCAAAGTTCCATATTCCTTTTCCATCTTAGCTGCTTCTTCCTTGGTACTGTCTGTCTCCTCATGACTCTTCTCAGATGGGGCTGTAATCAGATTACGCACTGTTGTTACGACCACATCTCCTATCGATTATTCCGAATATAAAAATAAGCTCTATGTAAGTAGTCTAACAACCTTTTTTCCCCAATAGAGTTATTATTACATAAAATAAAATAAAATAAAATAAATTGAAAATAGAGATGCTGTTGTTAAGTGCTGTTGAGTAGGTAGGTGCTGAGTCATAGCGACCCTGTATGGGTTTTCTGAAGGGTGGCTGGTGGGTTTGAACCACCGACCTTGCAGTTAGCAGTCCAGTGCTTTTCCTACAGCACAACACCAGGACTCTGAAAACAGAGTAAAGAAGAAAAAAAGAAATCGGCAGTGTTTCATTATCTCAAAACATCCACTATTAGTACTGGGATGCATTTGTTTTATTTCTTTTACAGCTGTGGTATTACTTTGTTCCTTCCTATCAACATAGATGGACTTTCCCAGGTTATTGAAAACATCACTTTAATGCCAACAAGCAGATGCAGATACTTTCTATATGGACAAAATGCTAACATTAGAATCACAGTATTTCCTCTTTCTGCTCCACTGTTCCCTTTTCAAGGAGGCACTTTTGCTTGGCTCAGTTCTGTGGTGTTTACTGTGTTGAGCAGTGTGATGAATAGAGATGCAGACCAGAAGAACTTGTGCTAGACAGGCCCAGAACCACAGAGGAAGGGAGGGTGAGTATGGAGTAGACAGATGGCCAGAGACAGAAGTTTACAGAAGCAGTAACCTAGGAGGTTAGAAAGGTAGTATCTAACTGAAAATCTTAGGAAGTGATCCATTTTGTGATGTAGTCCCTTTCTTTCTCACTAATCATCTTCTCAAGAAATCATCAGTAAAGATCTGTATTATTTTGCAATGCTTCTTAGGGTGAGAGTCTGTGCTCAGAGTGTCCACAAAATAGCCAAGTACATTTAATCTACTTAATCTCATGGTTGGATTTCAGACTTTGAAAAATCCATAACCAGCATTCGTGTGTCAGTTTGTCATACTGCAGTGACTTGTGCATTGCTGCAATGTTTGAAGCTATGCCACTAGTATTTTAAATACCAACAGGGTCACTAGGGTGAACCGGTTTCAGCTGAGCTTCCAGATTAAGACAGACTAGGAAGAAGGAGAGGCATACTAGTTCTGAAAACCTTATGGATAGCAGTGGAACAGTGTCAGATAGCAGCAGAATATTGAATAGTGAAACATTATGAATAGCACCAGAATATTGAATAGTGAAACATTATGAATGGCAGCAGAATATTGAATAGTGAAACATTATGAATGGCACCAGAATATTTGGGGAACAAAAGTTGCAAACAAACAGAAAGGATCAGTAGTTGGAAAGTTGTTCTTGGTGACAGAAACAATGCTGAAGATTGCACAACAGAATTTTGCAAGACCAACGACTTATTCACAGCAAATACCTTTTTATGACAATATAAAAGATGACTATACACATGGACCTCACCAGATGGAATACAAACAAATCAAATTGACTACATTTGTGGAAAGAGACGGTGGAAAAGCTTCATATCATCAGCCAAAACCAGGCCAGGGCCAGACTGTAACTAACATACCAGCAATTGCTCATATGCAAGCTGAAGCTGAAGAAAATTAAAACGAGTCCACCAGAGCCAAACTATGACCTTGAATATGTCCCACCTGAATTTAGCGATCATCTCAAGAACAGATTTGATGCATTAGATACTAATGACCCAAGACCAGAAGAGTTGTGGGGTGACATCAAGAGCATCACAAAGAAAGAAAGCAAAAGGTCATTAAGAAGATAGAATGAAGGAAAAGACATAGATGAATGTGAGAAGAGACTTCGAAGAAAAAATTCAAGCCTCGACTTGCAATATTGAAGATTCTATGGACAAAATATTGAATGATGCAGAAAGCATCAAAAGAATATAGAAAAGGGAGTGGTTGGAGCCATTGCAGTGAAGACCATGTTGCAGCCGAACATCTTGCTTACAGGTACAGCAGGAGTTGGAAAAAACCACACCAGGCAAAGAACTTGCATCAAGATCAGGACTGAAATACATTAATGTGGGTGATTTGGCTAAAGAAGTCTGATCACCGGATATAATGGAATCTGGCAAGATGACTTCTCCCAAGAGTATGCTGAAAGATGCACAGATGATGGCACAAATCCTGAAGGATATGGGGATTACAGAATATGAGCCAAGAGTTATAAATCAGATGTGGGAGTCTGCCTTCCAATATGTGACTGAAATTCTAGACGATGCAAAAATTTATTCAAGCTATGCTAAGAAAGCAACTGTTGATGCAGATGATGTGCGATTGGCAATCCAATGTCGTGCCTCGCCTTTTACCTCTCCTTCCCTGAGAGATTTTTTGTTAGATATGACAAGGCAAAGAAATCAAACCCCTCTGCCATTGATCAAGCCATATTCTGGTCCTAAATTGCCACCTGATAGGTATTGTTTAACTGCTCCAAACTACAGACTTAAATCCTTAAAGAAAAAGACATCTGCTTCTGCAGGAAGAATAATAGTTCCACGGTTAAGTGCTGGCTCAGTAACTAGTAAACCTAGTACTCACACACTAGGCACACCAACCCCATAAACCAAGTCTGTTTCAACTAAAGTAGGGACTTCAGTGACCCTTACAGGGCAAAGGTTTACAGTACAGATGCCCATTTCTCAGTCACCTGCTGTCAAAGCATCAATTCCAACAACATCATTAATTGGGTCCAAAAATATTCTTATTGCCACTAATGTGGCAAAGTACTGTCAATGAACCATCAAATGCATTGAAAAGAAAATGAGAAGATGATGATGCTCATGATTGTAATCTAGCCTTGATGCATGTAACTTGTATTCTTGGTATTTAATCCATTGTACTTAAACATGCATGCTGAATATTTTCAGGTTGTGTCTTAGAAAACTTAATTAGCATTTAATGAGTAAGCAGAATTATACTTTTATATATAAAAAAGAAGACAGAAGAATACACAGAGTCACTGTACCAAAAAGAAATGGTCAAAGCTCAACCATTTCAAGAGGTGTTATTATTTTTTTTAAATGTTTTATTGTGAATTATGTGATAGTTTACATGGGAGAACATTAGTTTTACATTCATCCCATCGTATATCATTTCATTGCAATGATTACAATCCCCTCCATGCATCATCAACCAACCCTGCAAGCCTGCTGCCCTTCAGCATACAGCCCCTCTCCCTCTCTGGGTCCAGAGTTCCCAGCTGCTCCATCTCTCCATGTCATTGTCTCTGCCTCCATCTCTGGCTTCAATGTTTCACAGAACATCTACCTTTACATTTCCAACCCTCAGTCAGTCCTGATAACAATTATTCACTATTGTACCACAAGAGACCTATCCCTGTTTCCTTTCATCAGCCCTGCTCTGACAGACTGGATACTACTCAGTGGAGATTCTGCCTTCCTCTACGCCCTCTGGATCTAGGCTCCCTCTTGAAAGCTTGTAAGCCAGTCACTTCTTGTGTTTGTAGCCCTCCCCCCATTTTGGGTAGCCAATGTCCAAGTTGCCCATCCCTGTCTACCCTGTGTCCTGAGGGGGTGGGAATGATCCTCACTGTAAAGATTTGTTCTCTCTTTTGAGCTACTGCATCCATAGGTGTAGGTCAAGTTCATCAAATTGTATCAGATTACTCTTTTTTTCCTTCAAGAGGTGTTACTGATGTTAAGTGCTGTCTAGTCAGTTCTGACTCATACCAACACTGTATAGGGCTTCCAAGGAGTGACTGGTGGGTTTGAACCACTGACCTTGTAGTTCAAACTGATATTGTGGTCCAGTGCATTATCCTGCAATGCCATACCAGGACTCCTGAGGTTGCCTATGATCAAGAGCCAATGGTACTGAAGGAAGAAGTCCAAGCTGCATTGGACTTGGCAAAGAACAAGGCTCAAGGAATTGACAGAATACAAATTGAAATCTTTAAACAAACTGATGCAGCACTGGAGGCACTCCTCTATGCCAAGAAAACCGGAGGACAGCTATCTGACCAACTGATTGGAAGAGATATTCCAAAGAGAGGTGACCCAATGGAATGTGGAAATCATCAGACAGTATCATTAGTATCACATGCAAGTAAAATTTTGCTAAAGATAATTTTAATATGTCTGCCACAGTACATTGACTGAACTGCCAGAGGTTCAAGCTACATTCGGATAAGAATGTGGAATGAGCGACATCATTGCTGATGTCAGATGGATCTTGGATGAAAACAGAGAATACCAGATGTTTACCTGTGTTTTATTGACTATGCAAAAGCTTTCAATTGTGTATATCATGATAAACTATGGATAGCATTGCAAAGAATAAGCATTCCAGAACACTTAATTGTGCTCATAAGGAACCTGTACATAGACAAGGAGGCAGTCATTAGAACAGAACAAGGGGACACCAAATGGTTTAAAATCAGGAAAGGGGTGTGTGTGCCAGGGTTGTATTCTTTCACCATATTTATTCAATCTGTATACTGAGTAAATAATCCAAGAAGCTGGATATATGAAGATTAACATGGCATCAGGATTGGAGGAAAACTCATTAACAACCTGTGATCTGCAGATTATACAACCTACAATATGCAGACAATAATTGGTGAAAGTGAAGAGAACTAAAAAAAATACTTAAGATCAAAGACCACAGCCTTCAGTGTGGGTTGCAACTCAATGTAAAGAAAACAAAAATCTTTACCACTGGACCAACAAATAACATCATGATGAATGGAGAAAAGATTGAAGCTGTCAAAGATTTCATTTTGCTTAGATCCACCATCAGCACTCACGGAAGCAGCAGTCAAGAAATCAAATGACATATTGCAGTAGACCTATCTGCTGCAAAAGATTTCCTTAATGTGTTCAAGGGCAAAGAAGACAGTTTGAGGACTGATTAAGGTGTGTCTGACCCAAGCCACAGTATTTTCAATAGCTTCAGATGCATGTGGAAGTTGGACAACAAATAACACCATAGAAGAATTGATGCATTTGAATTATGGTGTTGGAGAAGAATATTAAAATGCCAGAAGAACAAACAAATCTGTGTTGGAGTACAGCCAGAATGCCCCTTAGAATACAGGATGGTGAGACTTTGTCTCTCATACTTTGGACATATTATCAAGAAGGACCAGTCCCTGGAGAAGGACATCATGCTTGGTAAATGGAAGGTCAGTGAAAAAGAGGGAGATCTGTAATGAGATGGACGGCACAGTGGCAGCAGCAATGTGCTCAAGTGTAACAACAATTCTAAGGAAGGAGCAGGCTGGGACAGTGTTTCATTCTGTCGTGCACAGGATCGCTATGAATCAGAACCGACTTGACAGCACCGAACAACAACAAAATTTGTAATTATTCTTCAGTGTTTACTGAACTTCATTTTTACCATTCAAAAGCATTGTTCTAAAAGCTAGAAAAACATGGTTAAATAAATCATACCCGGTAAAGCCTTGCTTTTATTGTCAGTAGCATTTTTTTCTAGTTTGTTCTTGGTCTGGAGAGCAATCATTTCATCCAAGTTTTCTGGAGGGAGAAAGAAAAGAAATACTGTTTTATTTTCTGAAAGGTGATATAAAACTTTTACTAAGTATACATCTCACTAGAAATATTGCAATAGCAATTCCAGAATATTAATACTGCTAGTCAGATGCCTTAACCTTGGTTTTATTTCTATGAATCGTAGACTCTGGAGAGACATACAATTTGAGATCCTAAAGTGCAGCCTCCTACTTAGTTGTTTCAGAACTCCCTTGACACTTCTAGAACAGTTCCAGGAATGACACTCACAGTGAACATCTGTGGTATTAACTTCCTCCTCATCCTTTGGTAACCACATCTTGATTTTCCTTTGGAGAACTCAACACTCTCCCACTGTCAGCATACTTGAGTCCATCAGTGCCCGCCTTAACACAGATCTAACTAACCATGGTCTTCACTCCTAGGCCATAGTGATTGATTCAGGGCTAAGCATAGGACTCAGGCCAGGCCAATGAAACTCAATGATAGAACGAATGGGAGCAAGATGCTTTCTACTAGGACTGTTATACTGTGGGGATATGAGATTGGTGCTGCCCAGCTGCGTAATTCTGGTTACACAGGTAACTTGATAATTTATGCCAAAATAGCCTGAATTAATGAGGTTATTATTGCCAAATCTCTAATTCACTTTGAACAATGGAAACCACGACAGTAAAAACAAAACCAAATTCTCACCAAGGTAGGAAACGCCTTCTTCTGGAGATATTGTGCCATATTTTACCATCATCTTCACAAAGTCAATCAATGTTTTCATGATAGTAATAAGTGTTTCTTTCTCCTTTGCCTCTTTTTCTGCATAAAAGGATAAAATAATTATATAAAAAAACTAGTGGCATGTAGCTTTATCTTTTTAGGCCTATATATGAAGTACAGTATATAAGTATTATGTCACAGCTAAAATCACATATTTAATTTACAGAAAGTCTTAGACTTGATTGGGAATGCAGGACAATGTATGGTATACCAAGATCCCCCCCCACACACACCCCAAAAGAGCAATTATGACTTCCTCCAAAGGTTTAATTAATCTAAAAGTAATATTAACTCAAAAGACAAGGTTGGTAACCCCATAAAGTTTTGTTACTTAGGCTTTTAAGTCCTTGGGGGCAATAGCAAAGTGTCCTATGATATATTTTGGAGCTACTGTCCAGTACTTTTTACAAAGCACATGTTCAAAATATACCATTGGACACTTTGCTATTGTCCAGTACTTTCTCAGGATAAACCTGAAGAATACAGAACTAAAAAGCTACATGAGCTACATAAGAGGGCTTCAAAAATTTGTAGAAAATTCCATGGTCTTTTAATTCTACTTCTCCATGAATTTTTTAGCCCCCTGTATTCATTAATTAGGGATACTGGTGTGGCGCTGTGGGTTAATGCGCCAGACTGCAAAGCCATTTGATCTGCAAGGTCGGCGGTTCAAACTCACCAGATGCTCCTTGGAAACCCTCTACAGGGCCACTTTGGGTCGAAACCGACTCTATGGCACTTCACAACAACACAACATTCATTAATTAAGGAGCTCTGGTAGCATTATTGTTGTTGTTGTTAGGTGCCGTCGAGCTGGTACCAACTCATAGCCACCTTATGCACAGCAGAATGAAACCCTGCCCGACCCTGGGCCAACTTCACTACTGTTGCCACGCTTGAGTCCATTGATGCTGCCACCTGGCCAATACATCACATTGGGGGTCTTCCTCTTTTTCTCTGACCTTCCAGGTTACCAAACATGATATCCTTCTCCAGCAACTGGTCCCTCCTGACAATATGTCCAAAGTATGAGAGGCGAAGTTTGGCCATCTTCACCTCCAAGGA